ACCTTCTAAATGATACCAATTCTGACTGGATCTGTGTACATGACTTAAGTCTCTGCTTCTAGAGCCACAAACTGAAATTTTAAATGGAGATGGGTAGTTTTGGTCTCAGTCTTGGAAGTATTTGACTTCAGAAATGAAAAGAGAATGAGCCTCAGAAGATGACTACCCCTGTGCTACTGTAAATTAAACCATGTAAATAAAAACCTAAAAGTGAAGCCACCTAAAAATGAGGCTTTTGAAAATGTTGCCCAAATCATCTGTGATCTGCAAGGCTCTTCCTGTTTGTACACAAACTCAAATACTTTCAGGAGTAAATAAGGGGTGAAATAAGGATGGAGCAGGGTTGTTTTCCATGAGGCTATTTCTTCTTTGTAGCAACTAGGGGAGTGAAAAGTTCTCTGAGAAGCCCTACGACATTTCAGAGAAAGGGGCAGTTTCCCAGAAATTTGGCAAATACGTTGACCTTCACAGTGCATTTCTCCATCACCCTACCCAGAATGGCCCGAAAGCACAACGCAGACGCTCGGCAGGACTCCGCGCGGCCTGACTCGGCCTTTCTCACAGTTATCCAGGAGGATCCGTTCTCAGCATCAGGGTTATTCACACAGCACAGCCCTGAGCATCTACACTGACCCTACACCCACCCAGCCCTGTCAGCAGCACTTCCAGAGACATACCGTGTCCTGTAGCTTATAACAAACCCCAAATGAGCTGCGAGGGGACTTGCCTGTTTCTCTAGGTACCCTGTCAGCACATGGAGAGCTTAGCCCAGAGCCTCCCTGCCAGACTCATGCAAATGAAAAGGTCCCTAAATTCCAACCTCTATCCTGCCACATAACCAAGTTTTAAAAAAAGGAACAGGATTTGGAGTACTGCTTAGCCAAGGATCAGAATTAAATTCATGTTGTATATATAACCTTAGTGAAAAAGCTGTGTACTTCTGGCCTCTGTGTAGTCCTTTGCTCTAGTTTGGGAACGAAATCACAAACCCTTAAACTGAGCAGGTGGTAGAAGACACAGCATAATGTATTTTTATGGACCTTCCATATGTCCTTTCCAATATGCAGTGAAATAAATTCTCCTTTCACTTACATTCATACAATCCCACTCAAATGTCGTGGTTTAGTAGCATAGCAAAATACATTTGTGAATATCATGCTTTCCATAATGCACCCCTTTTTAAAAATTAAAACAAAGGGGGGAAAAAAAAAAAAAAAAAAAAAACACAAAAAAAACCTCAAAGGCTTGTCCAGGTATCACAAATTCGTGCCAATTCTCATCCCTTAACTCAATCATATATATTGTGAGTCCCTAAGCAAACTACCTATGGATTTGTAGCCCTAATAGCTTTTCCCTTTATCTCAGTTTCTCCAGTCCTAAAATAATGGTAGTAATACATAATGACTCCTAAATTGTGAAATGAAGTTTAATTCATTCAGTGCTCCTCATTACCAGAACAGAATTGCAGACGAAGAGTGCCACAGGGAAATACTGACCAGCATGTTTTGGTATTTCTGTGTGCAACATGGACTTTTAATATTATTCTAAAATGAGCATACATGCAAGATGCGATCAGACCTGTATTTCTAATAATGTTCTCTCAGGAACATCAAAGATTAAAATCTAAGACATAATTGCTCTGTAAGTACATGCTAAGGGCTTGCAGATGAAAAATAAAAAAAAACTTATGTTGTCTTGTAAGCACAGGGTTGACACCGGCTTATTTCTTTCAAAAATACCTTCAAAAGCCAGGATTTCTCTGTATATATGTGACCCTGATTCCTAGATGGTACATGAACTACTTAGAGATCATGTTACCAAGTTATTTGCAGCTAAAGAGGAAAAAAAGGCTAAAATTAATGGGTCACCGGGTATTTTCTTCTGAGAACTTAAGTACTTAACAGTAAGAAAAAAAAAATAGTTTACAGCCAGGTGGCTTGAGGGGATATTTTGTTGAACACTGATTAAAAATAATTTCTTCTGAATGAGACCTGACCACAAAATGGGACCATTAACGAGCAGAGACATTCTCACCAGAAAGGAAACTATGCTTGATCAACTCCTGCACCGCCCACAAACCCCGGGTCCTTTTCTCTTTCTCTCTCACACTCTTCTCTTCTATTTTTTCCCCCCTCTTTTTCTCCTTTCCCCTTTTCTTGTTCTTAATAGCAGTGTAAATAAGCAGCAAGTGATGCTGAAATGTTTTCAGCCAAAAACAGAGGCCAAACTCCTCTGAGAAAACATTTGGCCTCTGTGGTTTTGTAATATGTTCCAGAACACTGAGTTCACTAAAGAACATTGTGAAAAACTCCCATCGGCTGGAGTGATGCTGGGGAATGTTACTGTATCCCAACTTCCAATTGGTCCATTTCCTGCAGGCCTTGTTAAAAAAAAAAAAAATAAAAAACAACAACAAAAAAAATAGTGCTATGTGGGAGTTAAAACAAAGTTCTCATGGGAAAAATGAATGGCAAGAAATTCTAGCTTTAAAAGAAACAGCTAATCTGCTAGTTTGATTGTTCTTCAAAACTTACAATGAACCAATAATCCTAATTAAAACCACTTGGCCTAGTTCTCTAAAGCATCATAGCTTTTTCTATGCTTCGTTTGTACACACCATAGACTATTAGTTTTTTTCTAGTGCTCACTAACAAAGTGCTGACTTTGTTGGGATGGCTGAGCTAATTTCGTGAACTCAGTGTGAAACCTTAGCTAAACAAAATTGTGGTAATTTTCCTTAATTTGTAAAAGTGATTGGAGTGCAAACAAAATTTTCCTCTTGGGTCAATCCTATAATTTTCAATTAACTAAAACTAATCGGCAGGCGTGTACTGAACCTGCATTTTGTTTAAAGGGCTGGAAGGCTCTTCTGAAGGTCAGGATGCATTAATTGTTTTTATTTTAGTTTCATTTAGTCCTTTTTAAAAAGCCACATTTAAGTTCAGCCTGCCTCTAGAAGGAAAATGGAAATTGTGTGAGGTACGACTTCAGTCACAAGAGCTTTTATGTGTCTCTCTTAACTCCACAAAGGCTGCATAAGTACGAGAATTGTCCGTGGATTGGATCACCTTTGATTTTATCATTGTTGTTTGGCATTTCAAATCTTTCATTGATTTAATGAAAAAGAATGTGTTTTAAACACTAATTTGAAAATTCTTATACAGAAGCACCCTCCCTACCAGGACACCGTATTTCCCCATTCAGCCATCTGCTTCTGGGCAGACAGGTAAACTGCTGCCCTCCATTTTACTGAAAAAGCTAGTTAACAATAATCTGAAAAGCAAAACTAAAATAGGTCCAAGACATTTCTACATTTAAATCATAAAACAAAGTCCCCCAAAAGGTCTTTGCAAAGTCAAGGGGGGCAGGTTTCCTTCCTTTCTTCTCCTGCATGCTTGCCCCCTCACCAGCCCCAGACGCATCTCCCCCAGTGCCTTGACAACCAGCAGGACAGCACAACTTATAGTGAGTAAGAAAGTGAGAAGGGAAAGGATTGGTGGACAAACCACCTAGAACTCAGTCTGACACTTTCATGTGGTAGACACTGGCAATTTGCACCAGCTGGCAACTTGACTGTTTGCTTTTTGTTTTGTTCCCACACATTCAAACCCTAAATAACCTTTTCTGATATGGTGCATTATTGTCCAATATATGAACTTCCCACCCACTATTGAAATCATAATGCTCACAACAAACACACACAGCCTCCAGAAGCACCTGCTGCTCAGCTGGCAAGGCGATATATGAACACTTTACGAACACTCAGTTTAAAGAAACCCAGTGCATAATCCCAGCTGGGGGAGAGGGTATTTGAATCACAGAATCATTCAGGTTTGAAAAGACCTCTAAGATCATCAAGTCCAACCACCAACTCAACACCACCATGACCACTAAACCATGTGCTGAAGTACCACTTTATAAGGCACCTCTGTTTAACTTGCTCAGTGTTAAGAAAAATCAAATGAGAGTTTTGCTACGCAGTTGGAGCACAAAAGTCTCTCCTCTGCCTCAGGTCCCTGTGTGCACATTCGCAGCTGGTGCCATACATGTGCCCAGTGCAATTCAGAATGCCTCACAGCCACAAGTATTTATGATATATCTTATTCTTAAAGTTTCAGGAGTAATCAAGAATGGGGAAAGGAATTACACTGGATCATAATGAACCACATTTCAGGCAAACAGTCTTGCCTGCGTATGTCGAACCACAAGCGTATAAAAGAACAAGCACATCAATACCTGGACCAAGCCATTAATCCTTGTAGCATGCACACCTCCCAAGGAATCAACGACACATTCTTTTGAAAAAGTTAGGCTGTTACTTGATTTACTTCCCAAGCCATTCTTATCACTGCTGGGAGCAGTTTAACATTGACAGCACCTGCAATGTCCTAGCATGTCCTAGTTTTGTTAATGACCCTTCAGGCCAAATCACTCAACTTAGTGGCCTCAGTGTTGAATGCCACCCCAAAACACACTGCAGGTCACTATGGCTGCAGCACTGGCTGGGGTGAAAGCTACTTAGTCTCCCTGGAAGCTCGAGACAAGTAGGTTATGGTGACATGGGCAGGCAAACAGGCTCCTGCTTCTAATACTTGCAACGTTTGCTGGACCATATGAGATGCAGACATTCAGCAAGACACTTCTTCAGGGCAGATTCATGAGTGCACTAGTATGTCTTGCTCTTATGCTTGCACTCTTCCTCTGTTTGTTTAAGTACTCGAGTATCCGCTTCTCTCCTTCCTCTCCCCTCCTGGGTAAAGAGATGTCCCAGTGTGAAGACAAACAAGCAAACAAAAATCCCATACTGGTATGTTTTCAGATTCATCTCTACAGTCATCCATTTCTGAAATCTGACCTTAAATTGGTACCTTCAATGACATGCTCAGCCAAAATAATGAAATACAGTACAGTTTTTAAAGATGAAAGCAGAAGCCCTAGCAAGTGTGATATATTGCCTGCCCTATTTCTCCATGGTATATCTAGGACTAAAGCATCCTTACCTGTGTAAATGAATCTTCCAGGCGTTCCCTTGCAAAATTGCTTAGACTTGTAGGACAATGTGACTTCTACAACCCCTGGGATATGTCGGGGAGGCGTCTGTACACGGATGGCATGAGGAGTAATCAGCTAGAGGAAAGCATCAAGAAAGGAGAAGAAAAGGAAAAAAAAAAAAGCACTGTTAGATGCTGAACACTTTAATAACACTTTCCTCTCAGATCACAGTAAACAAGCTTTGAAACATGTAATTAACCTGTCAATGTTTGAATACAATCTTGATGTAATACACACAAAAGCCAGTGACTACAATATTTACAAGCATTCTCCTTCTCAGCCATAACAACATTATTTCTGTTTTCATACACGGCAGGCACTTGCTTCCTAGCACAAGCATTAGCCCTGGTTTAATGCAATCACAGCAGCAGGATGCCATGTTTGCTCAGGTGAACACTGGGGTCATGACAGTGTCCAACAAATCTGATTGATAAATGATACTCAGTTATATGTGTGAACCTGGTGAAGCACAAGCCCAGGCTGGGATTCACTGCACCACCCAAGCCCAGGCAGGCTTTTAAATGCACTGGTCCCCAGCTGAGATCTGTACACTGCAGAAGCACTGTGCTGCTCTTTTCATTTTCTGTTCATTCTGTGGAGGTATAGCTTGTTACCACAGAATTGCAAAGTTTGGCTTCTGAAGGATTCTGGATCTTCCTTGCAAATGAAGAGAGCACTCAGAAGGCATATACCAAATAGAACCATCTAACCATCCCTTCCAGTCTGCCTTCACTGCAATGATTGACACACGTCTGAGAGGGCTCCAACAGATGTGGATTTATACAGAAGTAAGTAGACACTTGCTAATGGGGCTGGGGATCCTGAGCGTCTTAACACAAAAAGTTGGGGGGGTTAGAGCTGCACTTTCCAGGCTCTAGACTATTTTTGCTCTTTCAGGATTCTAGACTGCATTTAAAACATAGTCCCTGAAACTAATATTAGAGCTATCAAGGAGTTCGCTAATTTATGGTAGGTTAACTCAAATCTCTGCTGCACTCAGGAACTACAGCATTGTCCTCCCCTTCACCAAAATGTTGTCTTCTACTTCTTATGCTCCTTCACATAAGAACAGTATAAAGAGCTATATAGAAAAGGTGACATGATTGTGTCCATCAACCAAATTGCAGCTCTGGCACACGGAAAATCCTTCTCTGACTGACTGGGGCACATGAACACAGTTCTTGAGAGGCAAACAAGACCAAGACCATAACCAGCCTTGACAATGAGCAACACCATGGGCACCCTATACAGACAGTCAACTGCTCCATGCTGTTGGTCAAATTGTGTCCTGGATTAGGGAGCATGTTTCAAAGAGTTTCAGTCCATGGACTGCTTTTACTTCAACTGAGTTGTCTTACAGTTGGACAGACCAAAGCCTTAAAGTCTAAGCCAATTCTCTACATGCCCTCGATGCTCAGCAGAGGCAGGAAGCACTGCCAAATAGCAACTTATTTCCACTGCTTTAGACACCTCTCACATTGGGATGAGCTCCTCTGTGGAAGCATCTACCTTTCTCCAACAAATTGAGATGACAGTTTCAAACTAGATGCTTAACTGTAGGCAGTCAAACATAGCTGAGATAAATCACATCCTCAAGTGGTTTTAGTTAACTGGGTGAACTGGCAAGATGAGCAAAGTTTCATGACATTTTTTAGAGAGAAAATATTTGTAAAAACAGCCAAGGATTTTAATAGTAAAGGTTAACATTCTAGTCTTACTACACCAACATGTGCCTTGCACCCATCACCCCCATTCTGGCATGAGCTATACAGGCAGCTTCTGGTTGTTTCTTTGAATTTCCCAGCATTTACTGGTCTGTCACCACTTTAACGTTCTTTAAACATAATTTGTGGCATTTTCCAATACTCATCTTCCCTAGTTCCCAAGAAATGTCTGACCTATTTATGGTCCATTGTTAAAGAGAGCTGGGGAGAGTTAAGCAAGTTTCCTGGTTTGTTCTCCACAAACAGTTTGGTTTTCCTTTGTGCTCTGAAGTAAATAAGTTTAACTGTGTTTAAAACCACAAATATACAATAATGTCGCCCACACATTCCCCAAGGGTGAACATTATGTCTGAAGTCCTATGGTTTAGGATACTCAGGATATATTTTACTCCTCTCTTCTCTAGAAGTAAAGCTTGGGAGGTATACCAAGAAATACATGTATCTTTTCCTTTTGCTTCTTCTGCTTAGCATCTGCCACTGACCACTGTCAGGGATATAGTGCTGAGCTAGAAAGACCTTTCTTCTGGGTCAGCCTTCAGTTCTCACACACACAGAAAGGAACTGGCTAGTTCAGTTACATACAAGTAGTCCCCTATGTTGCTCTCATGTCAAGAAATTGCCTCTAAGGGACAAGAAATATCACTGTACTTCAAAACCTGCTCTCTGAAACTCACGTTTGGTCCCAAACTCTGATTCCCCTGTGCTGCCAGGTTCTGTGTTATGGACCAGCACCAGCTCTCTGAATTGCCCTCTGGTTTGCAATCTGAGTGGCTCAACAGGTGCTACATAGGTCTGGGTACTCCAGGCTCACCTACACACGAGCAAAACTGTCCCTGACTCCAGAAACATGGGATGTTTTCCTGTCTACACCGGCAACTCGTGGGCTGACCTTGGGAATCCACACCACCTTTTCCTGGCATGTTCCACCACCTACGGAAGCCTCTAAGCCCCAAACTGTTGGAGGCTGGTGCAGCATTCTGGGAAGACATCACTGCATGCTCACCCTGTTGTTTTTACAGACATCTGTCATTGCCCAGTGCCAAACACAAGATACTGAGCTAGATGAACCTCCATGCCTGACCCCATAGGGTCATTTCTATGTTCTAACCTCAGATGGGAACTCTTGGTGCATTAACAAACACCGTAACAACTGCAGCAATGACATGCCAAGAACTAAGAATCTGTAAATATGAGTTATATATATTTCTGAACACATATTTAAATGTAAATCTTGAGCAAGGCATTACCCTGTGATTTGGAGAGGAGCCCACCACCCAAAATCTCTGATCCAGCTTCCACCTCCATTCCAACCTTTGGCTAATTGAGATCTGGAGCTAGACATAAAACTAGTAACTGGACCCTTTCTTCCAAGGGATTTTTCAAGTGAATTAGTATGATACTTGGCAACTGCACTAGCTATTCAATATAAACTCTTACATGTCAGCTGGGACATGCTGTGGATTGCATTAAAACCTGAGTTAGAGACCTTCAGAATGGAGGGAGGTGCGTGTCCTTCAAAATACAAAACCCATTTGGTCTCAGTGTGTACAGCAAGCCTCTTTCTGTGGTTTGCTAATATATTCTAGACATTCTTGTATGATACAGCATCATTTCACACTCTTTAGAGTGCCAGGTTACTTTCTTTTTTTAAAAATGACATTTTATAAGGACATGTCATTAATCTGAGTCACTAGTTTATTTTTGCGTGCTTGAGCTCTGGTTTGTGGTTAGGGAAATGGTGACAATCAGTCATAAATTTAACTTGCACTCTACGTGAAGAGGACCATTAGAACAGGAACGAAGAAAAATCCCACCAACTGAAGATAATGACAGCTTTTGGTGAAAACAGGACCTTTAAGATATCTATATTTTTAAAAATGACTAGTGACTTTGCATGGCTTAATTCTGGGCATCCAGATGCTGCTTAATAAGCCTTGGTTTTCAAAAAGAGGGTGCCTACTCATTTTTTAAAAATGAGTCAGACCTTCGAAATACACACTCAAAACTAGACACTTCCAAAATCAATAATAAACATAAAACGTAAAACAAAAACTATGTCATAGAATTTGATTCAGCAGCATTAAAAAAAAAGGCCAAACCAAAAAACTTGTCCTTTGGTTTTGTGCTGTACAAAGGTAAAATAACTGAAGTTTCAGTGTTTCATCTTTTCTTAATATAAAAGAAAAAGTTGTTTCCAGCTGACTCTGTACAGCTGGAGGAATGTTCTTGGCAGGAAAATGTTTGAAGAAATAGTTCATTTTAAGCAAATATTGTGGAATATTTAGAAGAAACTAATTTTGTCTTCACGATCATGTATTTGCCCTGAAACTCGACTGTCAGAGTTTCAGCCCCCAAGTAAGAGAGAGAAACAACAGGGGATTTTTATCAGCACCTCATATTTGGAATATTTACAACCACGCACAGACCCAGAAGGCTGGGTAAAAACCTGCAAATAACAACTCTGTCTGTTTGTGGACTGGACAAACAGAAAGACAGAGTCTGTCTGGCAACCAGACTGCTTGCTGGGCGTTGGCTGTCCAGATTCAGCATGTGCACACGATAGATCAATGCCGTTTGTTTGGCGCTTACGAAAGTCTCTTCAAAAAAAGGCATTAGATGGCCCATTTTGCTGTATTCTAAAAATATCAAGGGCTTTTAAAGTCATTTTTATAAAGTAATAAGGGAGTTAAGGATTAATTGAACCTACTGGCTTAGGGTATCTGCACTTCTGCACAAAATTAATGTGACAAATTAAGTTTTTATTTAGTTCTCCCTGGCTGAGAAAGGTTGTAATTATGTTAGAGTGTTTACAGCTAAAATATATGTTTAAATAATAAATATGTGTTTCAGAAACCATTTCAAACCTCCTTTTTTAACACAGTCAACTCCATTTCAAGCATATAAATATTTCAATTACAAAAGTTGAATACATGTAAAATAAATTAAAAATATATTATTTACATTTCAAATTATTTATAACATATGCTGCTTGACAGCAACAAATTCACCCTTAACATGAACAATTTTTTCTTTTTTTTTGCTTTTAACTTTTCTTCTGAACTGTGTTAGGATTTATATTTTAAATATCCATGCATTTCAGGTTCTTACATGGATTTTGCTATAATAAAATCTGAGTAATATAGGACCTTTACAATAATTATCTTCACAGCACCTCTCTGAAGAAGGTGGCTAATCTTATTAGTATGTTAGAGAAAGGGAATTGAACTTTAAGCAGATTATGTGATTTGCTCAAGGTCCTGTGCAAAGTCTGTGGCAAAATGATGCTTAATTTAAATAATAGACTTCATCCCCCAAACCACCTGCAATCACAGCTGAAAGGAAAGCTAGAAAAATTCATGTGAAAATGCATTGCAAGACTCATTCTTTTTCTTTAGCTTCCACCTATCTAGTTTTGTTTTGGATTTTCTGCAGTTCAGTTAAAATCATGTTTCCTTTGGATCCATGAAATAAAGGGATGAACTTGAAAATCCGTCTTGAATTCAGTGACAAAATAATCTGGCTGGGTTTGCTTAAAACTAGGCCTGACTGGAAACTCAGGATGAACCTGCTCCAGGTTTGAAATGATACTGAAATTCAGAAGAGTGACAGTTCAATTCTACACTCTCTTAAAATAAAACAAAAATGTTCTTCCTGGGCACTGAAATGCACTAAGCATTTTTTAGAAATGTGAAGGCAAGTGAAAGAAATTATTTTGTACTTCATAGGTGGTTACTATGTGTAATTTGAATTACTTATGGATCACTATGATTTAGGGATCACGCATGCATTTCTGCACCTGTTTATCATGTTTGTTTGCTTCTTTTAGAATTAATTTCTTTTCCCCTACAGGATTTTCTATGGCTCTCATAGCCTATGAAACAGAGAAGCAACTCTGTAAGGGAGAGACAGTGAAATAGTTTGCAGTCAGAGCCAACTTGCAGCCTCTTATAGCATTCACAACAAATAGACTGGCTTTGGTCTGGACCCCCTGTAACATTATTAATTTTATGACAAGGCCTTGCAACCATCAGCAACACTGTTTTGACCAGCACTCACTCTCCGGAGATTAGAAATTGCCAATTAATGGCTTCCACTAATAAATAGAATCAAGATTTATAATGAAAGATCCAATTCTGCAGTACCAAAATCAGAGCACTTTGCTCACAGCCTCTTCACCTTTCCCTATTAAATGTCTGTAGCCATAATAGCTTCAATCCTAACACACAAAATGCTTACTCTGGACCCAGGGGGCACTTTCATGATCACATAAGGGCTTCAGAATAGGGCTCATTTAATAGATCTTTTCTGGAATGCCCTTTCATCCACACTTGTCCTCGAGTGGAAGGATGAGAGAGAGAGAATAGCAAAGCCCATGAAGAACATTAGAGAATACTCTTCATATGGAAAAAAAATGCTGCCATATGTGCAATGGAATCAGTAGGGGAATCATGCTGGGTATGAATTAACCTATAATGTTGATTTAATATTATAGGATATAAGGTAAAACATCAGAAGATCCTGACGTTACCGGATAAGCCTTGTATAGCTGCTTTGGAAATGGTGGTTTGTTAGCATGTTTATTTCAGTATGAAAATAATAATTTCTTATAAATATTTCTTATAAAACCTCCAAAATGCTTCTGAAAAGCCATAAACACAAAATGTAAACCGTTCCTTGAAGCTGCCTTCCCATGCCAGTGAAGCCAGTGGGAGCTCTGCCCTGACCTCTATGGCCCTGTGCAATGGAAGGAGCTGTCTGGGTGATGGTGCCTGGGTTTTAACTTGCCACAGGCTTTTGAGGAACATCAGACTCCATGTTTAATTGTGTGTCAGGGGAAAAAAGGGTTTAAGAAACTGTGAGAAACACCAAAAACTGGGTAAGAAACAAAAAACGGTTACTGTGAAACTATGGAGGCCTATGCTAAGTATGTCAAGTCTGTATTTTCCACTGTGGAGACAACACTGTGCATTTGATTGCTGTTATGAAAATGATACTTAACACGAAGTGCCCACACTTTAAGAATATGCGACTCAGAGATGCTGAATTTCTGCAGTCTCCACCTCACTGAGCTGCAGCTACAGGCAGCCAGTTTCCCTGGAAAGCAGGATCATCTAAACGCTTGTTTCCTGTGGGCCGTTAGCTATTGTAGTGCTGAATGCAGAATTACCCACACAGGCATTTATCTGTCTTTTTTCTTAGAATAAAACCCACTAAACTAAATTCTGGGCCAGTGAGAGGAGATGCAAATCCCCTGGCTGTAATGGATTTCTGCCACAGGTAAATTTGACTAATTATTTTCATAAAACTGAGGGCAGGATTCACATCACAACAGTTGTTGCTGATTTAGCATGTGGCACAGAAAAAGGACAGGCTAGCTGTAAGCTACACAAAGCTATTAGACATTATCGTTCAGACAACACCTACCTCACTCCAAACCAGCATGGTGCCGAATATGACCTGTAACCCATCAAAGAAATTGTCTCCTATGATGATGACAGTGGCACCTCCTGTAGTCCATCCTTCACTTGGACTGATGGCTTTGATACATGGTGTAGCTGCTTTTCAACACACATGAAAAAGAGAAGTATTCTGCTGTTAGAACCAGATTTTAATGATAGAAGACTTGAGAAAAATAAAATAAAAGGAGCTTTCATTTTCCCCCCTTACTAACACAAAGATTTCAGCGATCACATTCTTTCTAGTACATGTGCATGACCTCAAACTATATCTTTGGAAGCATTTTTTCTCAATTAATTTCTGTTTGGTTTTGTTATCTGCACTAAAAAAACCCCAACTTTTTAAAGCATACATTAACGGAAAAATCATAGCATGATAAGCAGAGATCAATTGGAAATCAGAACAATTCCCATCTTTATTCTATATGAAATGTGCAATACCTGAGTTAATAAAACAGCCTCCAGTGAGTTGGCTTTATTATCCATCATAACCTAAATTCACCAAGGAAACTCCCATAAATATTATGAAAAATACTGGCTAAATAAAAAAGGGTGTAACCCTCAACATTTCTTTAACTATTCTGCAATCAGATCCAGGTTGTTCTAATATTAAACCACCCTGCCTTGCTTAATTCTTTGGCTACTATAAAAAAAATCACCAAAGTCCACAACCCTGCCATGTAGTAATTGCAGTTATGTTGCTTCTACTGGATAATCAAGAAGCATGTGCAATGTATTCTGTTGTATTCATTGAGCCTGTCCCTGCTTTCACTAGCCACTTTCTTGGCACCATATGTACTAAGTGCCTCCTCAGAGGATGTCAAAACGTCAAGTGCTGTTCATATTAATCATAGAATCATAGAATGCTTTAG